GTCTGTTATGCTGTCTAAAGACAGTATTTGAAATGAACAAATCACTGGTTTTGCAATGATGCTGGAGAACACATGATAGAGTTCTGCAAAACCAATGATTTGACTCATAGTGACCCTATATTTAGGGTTTCCGAGAAGCAGCTGGTGGGTTTGAACTGCTGACCTTGTAGTTCGGCAGTTGATCCTAACAAAGTCCAGTGTATCAGATCCTACAACACCACAACAGGAGTCCTTAAATAAAAAACCCAGAATCCAACCTTCCACTGCCTGTCCCTAGCTCTTGCCTTGGTCTCTTTGCCCACTCTGTAGGGACTGAAGACTCCCTGTGGCAGCCAGAGGGCGCCAGTGAGCACCTGAGTCAGACCATCCCCACTGCCCCCAGCCTTCCAGGGCTCCCACTTCCCTTAGGTCCAAGTCCTCGGCTAGGTCCACAGGACTCTTCAGGCACCGCCCCCTCCCTAGCCCATCCTTCTCTCTTCCCCTGGCTCACTCCGCTCCAACAACTCTTGGCTGTTCCTCCAACTCGCCAACCCCGTCCTGCTTCAGGGCGTGTGTACCAGTTGTACCTTCTCCCCAGTTTTCTCCCTCACTCCCTGATTTCCTTCAGGTCTGTTCTAGAACGTTAGGTTAGCAGTGAGCCTGAATTCAAAGCCCCCTCTTCCACACCACTCTCCGGAATAACACTTCTGTCTTGTTCCTCCTTTGACTTCCCCACAAGCTGCACTCACAGTGCAAGGCTGGGCCTGGGCCTGCTGTGGTCCAATCAGCAGGGCTCCGCTGCAGAAATGGGCCTGCCTGCTGCTCCCTCTCCTCCATCAGGGCCCAGCCCCCACACAGCCGCTCATCCAGCCCAAGTCACTCTCTTCTCTGTACAAACCTGTCTCTGGAGGGTGTCCATCTGGCTGTGGCCCCCACTGCATTCATTGGCTCCCAGGGATGTCATCCCATTACTCCATTTCACCCTACCCCCGTTCCACCTTCAGAAGCCCCTCTGCTGGCCCGCACTGCGGCACCTGTTAGCAGTTTCACATTTTTAGTTCCCGTCACCCTTTATTGCTAAAAGTGACTTAGAGGAAAACGATGGCACAAACCCTGCCTAACCCTTCCCCTACAACGTGTCCCATCCATGCCGGTCTTTGCTGGGCCCTATGGGGATGCTCTGGTAGCGTAGTGGTTACGAATTGGGCTGTGAACCTTAAGGTCAGCGGTTCGAAAGATTTACACCCTCGGAAACCCTGTACAGGGTCGCTATGGGTTGGACCTGACTCGATGGCACTTAACAACAACAACAACATGGGGACGCTAGGCATTAAGACTCCACATTGCTGATGCGCAGACCTGGTCCCAAGGGCTACCAATCCTGCGGGAACCAGGGCAAATGCACAACTCAGCAAACCAGCAGCTCCCCACCATGTGCGTCCCCCACAGGACCTGACCCCTCGCTGCAGAGCACTTCCTACGTTAACTAGGCCTGGGAAACGCGGGGCGCATGAGCTATAAGGGGGTGAGCTGTGCACACGGGTGTCCAGCGCTAGCTGGGGCTACCCCCCCACACACACACACACACATGTGACCAGACAAACAGCGGCCCTGCTGCGAATCGGCAACTTGTTTAATGACAAGGACGCGGCATGAGAGCCTGGTGGTAACGCCACATCACCATCCATGACGGGTCTGAGTGCCCAGCCGCCACCCCCCTGGCATCCTCCTGGACATGGGCACTCGCCTCGCCCAACCCCACACAGACCACCAGAGGATCTTTGGCAACCGCATTGGGACGGACGGGACGGGTCAGGTCGGCGCGGGGTTATTAAAAAAACAAAAAATACCAACAAAAAAATCTGACCGCTCAAGCACACACATCTACATACAGAGCCCCCAACAACAGGGTGGGGGCCTAGCTGCTCCTGGGAAGCCGTGGCCTAGGGTGGGGTGGGGGTTGGCAGACCACTCCCCCCATACCTTTGACCTTAGCCTCCCAGGACTCTAGAGAAACACACACACCCCTAAGTCACAGATACGTATGTACATGCGCAGTACACCTGGTAGGGACAACACAGTTCTGTGGGGGTGGGGGAGAAGCGGGGTTTCCTAAACAAGAGCCGAGTGCCCCACCTGCAGACCCATGCCTCTGTCCACCTCCCTGTAAACGCCCCCCAGGGGCCAGCACACGGCCAGTCATGGGGAGGTGGGGATGAGGCGGGAGGCCGAGGGGGTGGGGCCCACGTGGCTCTCGGCTGCAGTGCCCTTGTCCAGGTCTGTCACTCGACTGTCTCCTTTGGGTCCCGCTGCTGTGTCCAGTTGGCCTGGCCTTGCTGCTCTTCCCAGGGCCTGCTCCGAAAGTGGCAGCCGAGGGCCAAAGCACGACCCCGGCCCAGCCTGAGACAAAAGTGCATCCCCTTAAAGTCACCGCGCCAAGTATGGGGTCGCTGAGGGCACGACTGGCTGGGAAGGGACCCCGAGTCCAGCGGGGAGGAGTCAGGGGGTCTGGATGGGAGGGAAAGGTGCTCATCCAGGTGCCGGTGGGCTTTGGCAGCTGTCGGGGCTGCTGCGCCCATGTCCCCTCCACTGTCTGTTCAGGTGCAGCAGCAGGGGTCAGTGGGGGGGTGTGCAGGGAGCATGCAGGCCCCAGGTGGCAGGGCTGGGGTTCCAGAAGGTCCTGTCCACGGCGGGCAGTGGGGACAGGTGCGTCAGAGGGGGACAGTCCAGGTGGAGGCCTCCAGTCCACTGGGTGGGCACTTGCCGTTTGGGAACATTGCTGGGTACCCCAGCCTCGTCCCTGCCCCAGACACGGGCCAACACAGTTCACAATCGGGCATTTAATTGGAATCCTCAGGGTTCTCCAAGCCCAGCTTCCCGACCCCCCGCTGCTGCCTGGGGAATGCGTGCAGGGGAAGGGCCGAGCACGTGCACGGGGAGCTGGCCGCTGTCTTGTTTGTCTGTCTGTCTGTCTGTGGGTCCCTGGCCGTGATGACGGGATCCTGGCGTGGCGCCCCACCTGCTTTATCGTATCCTGGTGAAGAGGTTGAGGACGGACACGGATTCCTGTGGGCGGGGGAGACAGGAGCGGGCTGTAGTCTGGGATGACTCCATGGCAGAAGCAGGGAAGGCTGGTGGGGCCGGGGGTGGCGGGTGGGGGGCACTGCGATACCGACCCACTTTACCTTTGTTGAACGGGTTTTGCTAAAGACGTTCCAGAACCTCAGGGTCTCATCTCCAGCCCCGGTGACAATGGCCTCTCCGTCAGGGGACATGGCCTGCGAGAGACGTGGAAACAGAGACCCCTCAGTGTGTGGGGCTCTGAGGGCACAGAGCCCACTGGGACCAACCAAGGACTATGGGCAGGAAGGGCAGACAGGCCCCACCCAGTGGTTTCTGCACAACATACTGGCCTCCCTCAGACCGACTTTGTAAAACACCCACAGAGGAGCCCCTACAGAGGGCCAATGCGCATTACTCTGGGTTTGCGTCTCCCTATTAATTTTTTTTGCTTAAAAAAAAAAAAACAACTAATATAAAGAACTTTAAAATATATGTACGTGTGTATGTGGGTGGGGGGAGCTTTAAAAAATTCATGGGAAAATTCCATGGTCTCCTAATTTCATTTTCCCACAGACTTCTTTGAAGCCCCCCTGCAATCTGAAGCTGCATCAATTTGCTAAAAGATTTCCATTTGTATTCTGTCCACTCCAGGGCCTTGTTCCTCACCGGTGCCTTCAGTGGAGCTTGGATGTCTTCCTTCGGTACCACTGGTTCTTGATCAGATGCCCCCTTTGAAATGCTTGACTAGTGACCATTTCTTCTTGTTACAGAGACTCTGTATATTCCTTCTATCTCCTTCTGATGCTTTCTGTACCATTCATTCTTTTGCCCTTTACAACTTTCAATATTGCAACTTGAAGTCTGAAATTTTTCTTCCATTCTTTCAGCTTGAGAAATGCTGAGTACATTCTTCCCTTTTGATTTTCAACTTCAGGTCTTTGCAGGTTTTATTATAACACTGTTGTTGTTGTTGTTGTTATGTGCCACCGAGTCGGTTCTGACCCATAGTGACCCGGTACAGGGTTTCCGAGGCTGTAAATCTTTATGGGAGCAGAAAGCCTCATCTTTCTCCCGTGGAGCGGCTGGTAGTTTCAAACTGCTTGCCTTAAGGTTCGCAGCCCGATTCGTAACCACTATGCTACCAGAGCTAGACTTTGCCTTTTAAATCTTCTGTTCAGCTCTTTTCTCTTTCCTTCCAGTTGCTTTAGCTACTTTATGTTCAGAGTTTCTTCTGACATCTACTTTGGTCTTTTCTTTCATTCTTTATTAATGATTTGTTTTTGCTTTCTTCATGTACGATGCTCTAGATGTCCCCACAACTCATATAGTCTTTGCCCATTAGTGTTCAATGCACCACATCTACTCTTGAGATGGACTCTCCATTCAGGTGGGATATACTCTAGGTCGTGGGCTGGTCTTTCTTTTCCTCAGCTTTAACGTGAACTATATGAGCAGATGATGGTCTATTCTGTTGTTGGCCCCTAGCCTTGTTTGGACTGATGTTACTGAGCTTCTCCACCATCTTTTCCCACAGACAATTGATTTGATTTCTGTGTATTCCATCTGGCAAAATTCTCTCATGCCCCCTCTAGTGTCATTTCTGTTGCCATGTCTGCATTTTCCAACTACTGATCCTTCTTCCTCTGTTTCCCATATTCACAGTATTACCAGTAGTAATCAATGCATCTTGATTACATGTTATGATGAATTTCAGAGGGCCAAAGTTGGAAAAATGTTCCGTTTCTCCACATCTTTGGCATTCAATAGAAAGCCTGGTGGCCTTTAGGATAAGCACTAGGCTGCTAACCATAAGGTCAGCAGTTCAAACCCAACAGCTACCCAAAGGGAGAACCAGGAGGCTGTCTGCTCCCACAGACTGATAGCCATGAAACCTTACACAGCGTCACTAGGAGTCGGAGTCCACTTGAGGGAAGTGAGCTGGTTTGCGTTGGCTTCAGTGGTTGGTAGCAAACTTGAGTAATGGTTGTATTCACTGGTCTTCCTGAAAGGTGCATGGCTGTTACCCTGTCACTGATGGCGTTGGTCTTCAGGAGACGTTCTTTTTGACAATGAGTGTGACGTATTTGTCAACCCTGGTGCAGTAGACCATAGGACATGTCACTGACTTCAATTGAAAGCAGCTCACTATGACATCCATTCAAGCTGCAGAGGTCCCATTTCATGTCTGACCACCTCCAGGTTTCATTCCATTTCCTGATTACTACTGGAGGTTTGCAGCTGGTTCTTCACATCCTGAGCCATGCCATGCCAACATAAAGGCCCTGAAGGCATCACTCCATCCACGTCAGTAAGGCCAACTCTTCCCCAGTCGTGTTTTGAGTGCCGTCCCACCTGAGGGGCTCGTCTCGGGCCCTGGAGCCACACTATTCTGCTTCTGTTCACTAAGTTGTCATGGGTCAAGTTTGTTGTTTAGAAGAGGACCGCCAGGTCCTTCTTCCTAGTCTGCCTCAGTCCACCACAGGAGGCCCTGTTGATATCTTAAACATCAGTGGCGTAGCCTCCTGCATCACAGCAACACGGAGGCCACCACAGTACAGCAAACCGAAAGACATGCATGGCAGCCATAAAGATGCCAGCCCTGGAGACCCTGTCTCAGAGGGTGGCTATGGTCAGAAGCCACTCAGCAGTGTGGATTCTTTCTTCTACCAGGAGGTGGGCAGAGCTCCTACCAGATGGGCTGGGATGCCTGGGGAAGCATCTTCACATGTTGACATGACCCAACGCTGAGAACTAGCCCACCCACACTGCTGCTGCGCAGGCCCGATCTGGGGGTGGCCACACTCACCAGGTAGAGCACACGGTAGGAGTGGCCAGTCAGCTTGGCCACCTGGGTCAGGGACGGGTACTTCCACACCAGGATTTGGTTTTGTGAATATCCATGAGTGCTCACCTGGGTGGAGAAGGGTACAGGTTGGAAGCACGGGATACAGGAGCCCTGGGGACTTGGGGGGGACCACTCACAACCTAGGTGGTCATGGGCCCTGAAGTCACCATATCTGGCAGGCACATTAGGGGTATAGAGTCCCCAGGTTGGGGATGGGTGTCCCCAGGGTTGGGTGCACAACCTAACCGCTCGCTCCCCGACATGGAGGAGACACGGCCCTCAGCAGCCCCCCTGCCAGGGCCCCCGCCACGCTCACCAGCTCATTGGCGTGCTTGGACCAGGCGAGGTTACACACTTGGGAGCCTGTGTCGATGCACTGCAGCGGCTGCCCGGTCAGTGTGTTCCAGAAGCGGATGCAGCGGTCAGCCGTGCCCCCGCCCGAGGCCAGCAGGCCGTGCTGGTGTGGGGACCAGGCAATGGCCTTGACGGCGGCCAGGTGCTCTGTGTACTGCTGCACGGGGCTCAGGCTGGAGTGGTTCCACACCAGCAGCTGGTGGGTGGGTGGGCAGTGAGTCAGGCAGTCCCGTCTCCCCAGGGCCCCGGGATCCCCCAACTCTGTCCGGCCCTGTGGGGGGGGGGGGAGAAGGCACTCCTCTATGGAGGAGCTGGAGTCATCCCCGAGCCTCTAAGCAGGCCTACCTTGTTGTCATTGCCACCTGAAGCAAGCAGCTGGTGGTCCGTGGACCACTTGAGCCCGCAGACCTCCTGCCGGTGGCCCTGTAGCCGCCGCTCTGACTGTAGGGGCGGCATACGGATGTCTCTCTGCAGGATCATGCGGTCTCGGCTCCCAGAAGACAGCTGGTCAGCATTCCAGGCCAGGGCACCTGTGGGGGCGGGGACAAGCAGGTGATGCCACAGCTGCCCACCAGTCACCGAGTGGGGAGTCTGGGGTCAGGGCCTCACCAACTCGTGCTGTGTGGCCCTCTAGAATGGTCAGCTTCTTCCCTGCGGCCGCGTCCCAGATCTGCACGAAGCCCTTGTGGGTGCCAACGGCCACCAGGTTCCCCTAGGACAGAGGGTAGGTGAGGCTGCCTTTCTGAGCGTGCCACTCCCAGCAGACTCTCCTCCTCACAGCCCAGTGGACCACCTGCTGGACGTCACCCCCACCGCATCCCACCTGATCACCCCACTGTTGTGCCCGCTCACTGCAGCAGCCTGCTGGAGACCAAAGTGTGAACACAATAATGTGGCAGCTTCCCTAGGGCGCCCCCCAGCTCCCGCTCCAGCCCTGCCCTACAGAGGGGCTTCCACTGACCCGCTCAGACCAGCCCACAGAGGTTACTGAGTCTCCTTCCACAGACAGATCACAGAGCCGGGTCACCTGGGGGAAGCAGACAAGTGTCACCATGAGCCTGCATGTTGGCCCACTGGTCCTCCAGGGCTCGGTCTGTCCAGCCAGCGATCTACTTTATCCACCATCCTTCTACCTGCCATCCTACCAGCCATCTATTCATGCATCCATCCACACGGCGATGTCATCACATCTATCCATGGAGTTCTGGGGTGGCACTGTGGGTTAATGCGCCAGACTGTAAAGCCGTTTGAACGGCGAAGTTGGCGGTTCAAGTTCATCAGCTGCTCCTCAGAAACACTATACAGGGTCGCTATGGGTCGGTGTCAACTCAACGGCCCTTAACAACAACAACTATCCGTGCATCCAGCCAATCAATCAACCAACCATCCAATCCCACAGCCATCCACCATCCAGCCAACCACCTATCCATCCATTCATCCCCACATCTGTCTAGTCAATCACACATCCATCCAATCACATCTACCCATCCAACCATCTATCCACACTATCCACACGTTTGTTCAATCATACATCCACCCATCTACCATCATTCAATCACATATCCATCCATCTGTCCAGCCAGCCAGCCAATCGCCCACCGACATATCTATTCTTCCATCCACCCACCCATCCAACCAACAGTCCACGTGGGGCAGATTACCCAATAAGCAAGGTAAGCACAGGCTTCTTGTTGTTGTGCCGGTGAGTCAGTTCTGACTCATAGTGACCACAAGCACAAAAGAATGAAATACTGCCCAGTTCTGTATCACCCTCACAACTGTAAGCACAGGCTTACTTGTACTTATTTACTAATCTGTCTGTTCACTACAGATCAGTAAGTATGCACAAGTAAGTCTGCACTTACCTTGCTTCCTGGGTACTTACTGTGTCCCAGTCAGGGACTGTAAATGTGAAAAAAGGCTTTGCTTCTATAGGAAGATGCCGTGGAGCTGGGAGAGAGATATGACAGTCAGACCTAAAAGCAGAATCCGTGATGTGGTGAGAGACATGTGAAACTGTTCATTACAGATTAATAAACACGCACATGGGAATCTGTGCTGACCTCGCTTGTTGGGTAATCTGGCATGGTACCCATGCATGCATGCATCCATCCACACATCCATCCATCCATCCACACACCATCCATCCATCCATCCATCCATCCATCCATCCACACACCATCTATCCATCCATCCATCCATCCACACACCATCTATCCATCCATCCATCCATCCACACACCATCTAT